AAACTTTTACATGAGGGCCACCTAGGGATTGAAAAGACAAAATCAAATGTCAGAAAAGTATTTTATTGACCAGGAATTACAGCAGATATTGAATCATACAATAAAAACTGCAGAATTTGTGAAAAATTTTCAAGAAAAAATCCAAAGCAAAACCTTTTTTCATATCCAATACCTGAGAGGCCATGGGAACGTGTTGGTTCTGACATTTTTACATATGCTGATAAAAGTTATTGTGTTTTATTTGATGCATATTCTAATTGGCTTGAGATTGTGCCTATAAGAAATAAAAGTGCTGAAGCTGTTATTTCTCAAATTAAACCAATAATTGCAAGGTTTGGGGCCCCTGATATTTTTGTTAGTGATAATGTACCTTACAATAGTGAAATTTTTTTAGAATTTGCTAAAAATTGGAATTTTATTCTTGTCACACGTAGTCCAGAATATCCACAATCGAATGGATTGGCTGAAAAAGCTGTATCAATTGCTAAAAACCTTCTAAAAAAATCTGTGGAGGAAGGGAAAGGTGATTTATGCAGTGCTCTTTTAAATTACAGAAATTCTACATTAAAAGGCATAGGCTATTCACCATCTCAGTTGTTAAACAGTAGAAATTGTAAGACTAAAGTTCCAATTGCTTGTGATTTATTGTACCCTAAGTTGTGTGTTGATGTTAAAAAAAAAACTTGCTAAACGAAGGGTAAATGAACAGAATTATAACAAAAATACTAAAAGCTTAAAACCAATTAAAAAGGGCTCAAATGTTACTGTGTTGAATCACAGGAATAAAATTTGGGAACCGGCAAAGGTTGAGAATTTGCATGAGAGTCCAAGATCATATATTTTACGAGACTGTAGAGGCAATACTATCAGAAGAAATCGCATTGATATTAAGCCATCGGAAAAACCTTTCAAGTTAACTGATAATTCACCTGATTCTGCAACTGATATTTCTCATTCTACTGATAATGATGTTTCATCCTCTTCAATTGTACCTAGAAATAGTCATTACGAGTTTGCTGACTTTCCTAAACATACTATAACACCAAAAATGCATGTTCCCTCACAAACAGTTGAATTCAATTTATTGAATAAAAATGTTCAAACTACTAGATCTGGACGAACTATTAAAAAACCAGAAAAACTAAACTTGTAAGGGAAGATGTATAATATGGTATTATTATAATATTGTTAATTATATTTCATCTACCTATTTGTATGAACATTTGTAGTTAGTAACTATTATTATTATCAATGTGTTTGTGATTAGACATCCTTGGTGACATGAACAAGTAGTTGTCAATTATTATAGTAGATACAATTATTATGTACAGAATTTTGTAATAGATCTACTTAATAGAGGATCATATTAGAACGTGGTAAAGCTGCTTTATTTTATAACTAAGTGCTTGACGAAGTTATAGATTGATGGATGTGCCAAGACTTTGGCAGAGTATGCAACTCCAGAATTGGTTTATATGACCATCAGAAAACGCAAAATAGACATTAAGAATAGAATAGGAGATAATCATACTTGGTATCGAGTGATCGCCTATGATGATCCATAAAGAAGAGTCCGGCAGGCCTATTCTCTACCAATAGCAATTACATAGCAACCAGCAACCGCGTCGCAGTTGTTTTATTAGAATAGAAAACTCGCGTTTGACAGCGACAATATCGCAATGCTCTGCGGTCGCTAGTTACAAAATAAGGTGGCCGATATGGAGATATTCTAGGCGTCTGCAGGTGCAATCGATGATCATGAACTACGTCGAGTAGTTCTTGCATGTATAGCTCTAAATGGGATTATTTCTGACAGTTTGGAGGAGTCGTGGTAGTATATCGGTAAAACAGAGTCAGTTCCGCCACCTTCTTTCTGTGTGCGAAACTGTCCAGACTTGTTGTCAACTCCAGATCTCTTATCAGACGAATGGCTTCTAAGGAATCAAGCAGTTTCATCAAGGCGTGCTTGGGGCAGAACTCCACATGTTAGAGCAATACTCCAAAGATGGACAAATCTGTGCCTTATAGAGCATTAAAAGCTGGTTTCGATGTATATAGCCTGACACATGATTATGCCAAGACATACCTACTGCTTCCAAATGACACGCCGAACAACTTCACCAAAGAAAACAGGGGCAAAGTCAGCTCAGACTCCGGACATGGTAAGGTTTGAAGCTGCAGTGGCAAAATGATGTTAAGATCTGAGTTGATAGTTGTGATCTGGTGACGTCTACGGGACTGGGCGTCGGCAGAATTTATTGGGGTGGTCGATTTGAAGAAAGACACCAGCGTGCTATCTTCGACAAAGCTATGGATTGATTTAGAAGTTCTACCTGGCAGATTATTGATACATAATAGGTAGAGGGTGGGGGACAGGATGCATCTCTGGGAAACCCCGGCGGCGTTGGTTTTGAACCGGTCTGAGGTGTGTCCATCTACAGAGACGGATTGGCTTTTGTAGATGGACACACATCAACGCCTTTGAAATGTCCAGGGCTATAGGCTATACGAAAACATACATAATATGTTCTCTTGGTGATTTGGTGACGTCGTTGCCTATCGTCGGGTGGTTTGACGCAACGTTGGTACAACGTTAAATTGCTGCTTCAGCCAAACTATCCAAAAGTTATCGGTTGAATGTCAAGGAACATTTCAATAAGCTTTAGGAACTTCTTGATATATTCTTCATTCAAATCGCAAAACCGATTTGGGAGAAAGCATAGACCAAGCGTCTTTCAAAATGGTTTGTTTTGCCTCAAAACGACTAGTGTTGTAGATAGTAGATGAATCTACTTCTTTTATGCAATATATGAATTAGTTTGGATTATGTGAAAATGTTATGTTCTTCTCTGATATTAGTGACATTCTCAGGTCAACAGACTCGAGGCGAAGAAAGGGGGAAAAAAAAACGACTACATGTTCAAGGTATGCAAGAAATAAACGAGTAGTCTTGAGTATTGTCTGAAGAGCAACGCGAATCCGGTCCTGGACCGGGTCCCACAAAAACCGACTACGTTGCAAAAACCCTCTACTAGACTAAAAACAACCCCTGCGAGCTAAAAAGAGAAAACTCCCGCTGCCGCCGATCCAAACATTCCAAATTAAAACGACGTAGCAACCCGAGCGCCGCGCCGCGGCGCGTCGTAGTTTGTTTTTGCCGGCGTCATTGGAAAAGCCTGAAGTGGGGATGATGGAACCGAGGGGGTAGGTAGAGCACTGGCATTGTAGCCAACCAATACCGTTCGAGCGTCGTTTCCCCTCGACGACCACCCCGATATTGCCCTGTGGTGCTACAGGGATTTCTAGTGATATCGGGAGATTCAAAAAATGAGCTTCAATTTTGAAATATTCGGATTAAATTGGAGGGAAATTTGAGCTTATTATTCAAATGTGGTTATTTTAAATCAAAACAGTGATATACACGTTTGATCTACAGATATTTGTAATAGAAATCCACAGATAATAGATACTTTGCTTGAATGTGTTTCAAATTGTTTCAATTGTTGTTATTATACGAACCCGCATCTCTAGATTTTGTTGTTGGTTGCTGCTGTTCACTCGAATTCAATTAGCTCGTCAAGGAACCTTAAATTGTCTATTCTGATCAAAAATTAAAGACATTGCGCATGAACGTCTTAAAAATTCCGATACACAGTTTACTTCTGCGCAGAATGTTGATAATCTAAACTCATATGATTGTCTACGTCATGATTTTTCGGTATATTATCATTCATTTTATTTATGTTGAAAAAATTAAATTTCAATCTCCGATTATTTTTTTTTCTTCGTAACACGCATCACTTGCTTTTCCCCAAAGATTGTTTTACGACGTCATTTAAAATTTTAAGGCCCCGCGTAGCTTTGACGGCGTAAAGTAGTATAGAGGGTGGAAGTTTTTTTACGTTAATTTTGAAAATGCTTTTCTCCCCTTCGTGGGGACGGTCGTGGAAAGTGTAGTAGGCGCTTGCGCCGAGAGGCGGACTTGGATATATCCGATATCAATACTTCTAGGGGCCTCCCACCACCACCACCACCACCACCACCACCACCTCCTACAGGATAGGAACATAAAACAAAAAAAGCACGTGGCATCGCGGCAGTTTTAATGCAATTATCTGTTATTTTGTTTGAGACATTTATTCGGAGAAATTCACGTGAGACCGACCGCTGTCTATGATACATTTTTGAGAGATAAAAAAAGGGTTTTCCCCATACGACAATGGAATGTCAGCAAAAACCTTTTTGGAGACAAATAAATGACCTTATGCCAATCAATCCAGCATGGATATGAATTATTAACCCCGATGTAAACAAACAAACAAGCCAGACATCTGGGTTATAACGGCCAAATAATAATGATAAAAATTAAATCTTTTGTGGCCAATGCCGATGAGTTTAAAATCAACTCAGAAGTCACGGATGAGATGCATTTCTGATTAGATTCTGATTGGCGCCTTCCAAGCACGTCTTGCAATCATCTCGAAGAAAGTTGCGGTGTCGGATATTAATCGTAGTGTTTGTAAAGGCAAACGTAAATATTGTTTTAGAAGCGTGTATATTGTATCTGAAAATTTGGATACTTGTTTTCGGTGATTTAATTTTTTGGTCGCTGTTGTGCGGCGATGGTGGGTTAGTAGGTACCTACGCATAACAGGATTCCATTCCAAGATAGAATTTGGGTTGTTTATGAAAAGTACCTCTCTATGTCATTAGTGATTGTGCATGTTTGCACTACTATGAGATTTGATTGCGGATAACAGAGATGCGAGATATAATGTGGGTTCTATTTGAAAAAATGTTTCTCTCCTTCTTTGATGAGCAGTTGATATAAATGTCATAACATCTATAGAAAGAAATTAATTTTTATATCATCATATGTTGAAGAATTCTCGCCATTTTGAAAAAAAAAAAAAAAAACGTTTCAGTAAGCCAAATACCGTTACGCTAGTTGCATAGATCGAATTTAACGTGCTAAGAAGCCTAACGTGCTGGAATTAAGGCTATCTAACAGGCAACCAGTGTTTTTTTATTCCGATTCGAAACTTGACGATAGCGGCGTTGGTTGGCTGGTCGGTTGAATTTCTCTTTGCTTTAACGAACAATAAACAACAGTTCTGCCAAGAAATATTCAGGCTTCTCGGTCTGTCTAACGGTGTACTGTTGTATAGGCCCACTTGGGTTCTTGGGTATAACACAGCTAGAAGAAGTGACTGAGTAAAAGGCACAGCAGCGCCTCTCGACGGCGAACAAAAGTATCGTAAATATATAGTTGGTTCGTCAGCAGCAGGAAAAAGTTCATGGAGCGGTTTGGCCTTCTTTTCAGACGGCCTCCGCATAACGACATTCGCTCGGTAAAGCCGAGTGCTCAAAATACAAGTCCGATGGTATACGAAGTCTGTGTAGGTTGTCATCATTCCTCTAAACTTATCGCTCGTTGGAAGCCCAGGCTAGGGGAGAAATCATAAAGTCGAATATCGCCTGGCAGAACATGTATTAGCCGACGCCGAGTCGCCTTTATAGACAACCGTTGCGCAGATAGAAGTAAAACAAACAACGTCGAGTTTCTTGGCTCGTAGCAAGGAGAAAATGTTTTTTGAACCACTTGTTTACTTCATTTATATTCGAATATCGCGCGCCAGAACGTTTTTGTTTTATAAATAATAAATTATTTTGTCAGTAATTTTCCTTATCGATGGCCTTAATGGGTCTCGGAACGCACCGCTCTAAACCGATAAGGACCAATCGATAATATTGGTGCACAGATGCATTGAGCCGGATATCTTGAGGGGGAATGTAATTATTGAACGTTGCCTATACCTTCTGACAATCGGTAGATGGCCTCACTCTTACTTTATAATGTATGGAAAAACGACCTTGTCCTACTTACATCTTTTTTAAAGTTCGGATGGCGGACGGGGATTTCCCAATATTTATGACTCGTTATGCATTAAACTGAAAATTTGTTTAATTTTCAGAAAATTTCTTTCAAGGCTATTGTTAAAAGTAACACGTAAAATTTGATTGATGATGATATCGCGTTATCATCAGAATGAGGTCGTATTTCGTTCAAATATGGCAAATAATGTTCCTCAACAATACATATCCGAGTGATAAGATAGCGGTACAATCTATATATTCACCTTATTTGAACTAAAATCATGAAATTGCGCTTCTATTTTAGGAGAACATAAAATTATTAACAAAAATAATTCCGTCGAACATAATGAAAACTGTTCGTATAATGAATATTCCGTTGTCATCAGCGGACCGAACCACAACGAGTTGATATCATAACCTAAAATAGAACCGCTCAGTCAACTTTAGTTAGCAGCAAAACGCACATGATCAAGCGGTGAGGTCCAAGTCTGAGGTTAGACGAGTTAACGTGTTTACTGCCAGCCCGATGACGTTATCTCTCTGCCATACTAATATTGTTCGGGTTCGTTTTATATTTATCTTTCGCGATATGCAGGCAAATAGAATGATTTAAAACTTTTTGAAACCATATGCGGATTTTATTGTTTGTTGATTGGTGTTTTGCGAAAACTTTTGATTGATTGATTAAATATTATAAGAATTGTTTTGCAATATATGTATCTCATAGTAGATGCGGTTCTTGAAATTCAGCTTAATTAGTTCCTTGCTGTTATAGATTTTAATCTCTTCGTGACTTTAGAGGATCTGAATTGAACCAACATTGAAAATCCGCTTATATAGGGAGAATATTTATTTATGATTTAAAATTCAGCAAGGCCACGACTACTTCTCAAAACAAGTACTATTACAAAACACAAAACTACTTAAATTAAACTTAACTGTCCGCAAAAATATATACCGATATCTTTACCCAAAGTCTGCTATACCGTCTAGTTCAAAACTTTGCCGTTTGCATCGTGAACCGCTTACCTATATACCGTTTCCGTACTAGGAATACCAGTCGATGCTACTTTACAACACTGCCTCCTTCCTTGAAGCTTTTCGCCCCGAGAAAAGTATTTCATTTCTCTCGAAATCGTGTCTTGGGCCTTTCCTTGGAAGTACAGATATAGTATCTCTTGCACCATTCCTCGACATCGCTGCCTCCGAGCAATAAACATCCTTTTTGCTCCGAAGTTATTACTATGCAGATCACTTAGCGCTATGTTCCGAGGTAAAACGGTTCAACGTATACTAGGCTTTTTGCATCTAGACTGACCCATTTACGAGTTGTCAAGTTATCTCGCCCGCACCTCTCCAACGTTTTACCAATACTGGAAATTTCTTGCCGTTTGAAGCATTCTCCTCTGTCTATATCCAGCCACCTATCATTCATCAAAACTCTTTATCAGCATTTTGTTATTTTTCAAAGATTCTCCATTGCTGGGAAACAAAACTATCACGGTTCCTTTTGACCGAGAGCATCAGTAGTTTCGTGGTTGAGGCGAGATAGAGCTTCCCCGATCTCTGGATCGATCTTCTTTCTTCATGTGATGTGAATTTCTTGGTCGCAGTTAGTTGCAACATCTTATCATCTTCCTTCGCGTAGTATCTCTCACAAACGCCACTAATTCTTGAAAATTTTCTAGCTCTGTGTTCAGGCTTTCCTCGGCATACTTTGCGCTGTTGGTTGACATTTATTTGTTCAATAGAGTCTTCGGGCGTTTCTGGATATGACAACCAGACATTAATCTGCAGTATAAAAAATAAAAATGGGGATGTTTGGTAAAAAAATAAAGAAACTTACAAGGTGCTGCAAAAGATTCTTTATCAATTATTAAAAATTTAGAAAGCTACCAAAAAGATTTATTCCTATGCAAAAAATGGGGTATTTTACCCTTTATTCTATTATTTGCTGGTTTATCTGCTCTAGGAGCAATAGGTGGTGGTGCTGCTGGTATAGCAAAAGCAGTAATACTAAAAAGAATTATTTCTATGCCTCAAAAAGGAGATGTTTTACCCTTTATTCCATCATTTGCTGGTTCATCTGCTCTAGGAGCGCTAGGTGGTGGTGCTGCTGGTATAGCAAAACCAGTAATAAATACCAAAAAGAATGATTCCTATGCCTTAAAAAGGAGGTATTTTACCCTTTATTCCATCATTTGCTGGTTTACCTGCTCTAAGAGCGCTAGGTGGGGGTGCTGCTGGTATAGCAAAAGCAGTAAATGACGCTAAAGCTGCCAATGAAAAGTTGTAAGAACAAACACAAATAAAAAAATACTTTAGCGTTGGGTAAAAGGGGGCGAGGTCTTTATTTGAAACCCTACAGAAAAGGATGTCTCTTTTTAAAGCCAAAAACTGTTAAACTACAACTACATTTCTTCAGCATCTCCAATGGGTCTTAGACTCTGCCTTTCTTTCTGTTTCAGTAGCTCAGCCCTAAAGCGTCTATAGCTGTATTATCACTTTGTTTGACCCCAAGAATATTCTGAAGAATTTCGAGTGCCCTTTCCAAAATGAATTGAATAAACGTCGTGATTATACTTCTTCCATTCGTCGTAATTTTAGGGTTAACTGTTTTCTAGTTTCCAATCTACCTTGTCACTCATGAGACTGGTCATGTACACCTTTTCCAAGGGTGCGCACTTCACCGGTTGCTGGTATATTTCCCACAACTCGGCACTCGGCCGTCCTGAGTTACATCGACCTCCGATGTTATTTCGTCTTTTGCCGTGTCTGGATCATGGTCATCATCATCGTAGTTTATCCATGGTTTTAAATAATCAGAACATATAGATGTTTTCGTGGGTCCTTCATGACAACCAATCTTCATAACATTGGAAGTGTTGTTTTCCTCTACTTTTATTATCCCATAGGAACCTAGAAACTTTATTTACAGCTTGAGTCCTGGCCCTTGTTGAATTCGTTAGTTTAATGGCCAGTTGCTTTTTACTGTCTATCACCATTTGCAATAGCATTGGACTCAAAGTGTCCTTTATACATGTATTGTCCGTCGTTTTTAATCTGACACATTCCGTATAGTAAACATTGTCGTTCTAACGTAAAGAGCCACGATCTCACATTCCCAGAATGTTTCGCCGTCAAAAGTTGTGGATTGAGTTGGCCGCGAACGAGAGGACTCACCCACATATCCATTTTGTAACCGCGTTCTCGGACTTTCGTCTTTGAATGTTAGTTGTGTCGAATGTTCTGGAATACTCCGGCGTTCATTTTAATACATTGCTGCTATTGTTTCTGTTCTTACTCTTTGCCTTTCAGTCGTTGGTTTTTTTCTACCTGTTTTCCTTTCTGTCGGTTGTCTTCTGGATTAACGAGCTTCCCGCTGTCCCTACCGACATTACGATGGCTGGTTCGCTGGTGCAATTTTGTTTAAAACCCACCGAACTGTCGTGTCTACCATCACACGATAGGGGAAGGAGAGTCAGGGCCGCAACTAGAACCCTCGGCGCCTAAGGCAAGCCCCTCCACCGCCTTCTCAAAAGTACAATAGATATATTTTTTGATGCTTTGGTTTTTGCTTGACATTTTTTTATGTGTGCCTATCCTCATCATAAGGCTTGTGTGTAACAAATCCCCCCCTATCCCCTTCGCCAAACAACCAGTTGTGACGTAAGCAGCATGGCGTTTCTCGCCTTGACGTAGGCTGTTTAAACAGCTGACGATTTAGTTATGACGTCGGCAATGGTTGAAAACAGCTGAAAACCAATATGGCGGCGATTACCAAAAACGAGACCGATAAGCACTCCTTAAGTGTGTATTCTCCTTGCGGTACCTATATGTAAACAAAAACAAAACAAACTGCACTGGCTCTTCACGAGCCTTCCTAGCTCGTACCAAAAACTGCACACTGATTTGAAATCCAGTGCATACATAATTGCACTGGATTTCAAATGGAAAATAAAAACTGATAATGTGCAGTCAAATGGAATTTAAAAATTGCACCTCCGTGCAACAAATGGAAGACGCCATTATTTTATCGCGAACAGTTTTGGAATGAGTTCTCCAGACTGTCTTACGTAAACGAACGTTATGTGTCAATCCTGAAGTTCTTGCTAAAATCCTAGGACCGCTAGAACTGGTTCAGAATCGGTTCCGAACCGATTTTGGTTGATCAGCGAATCCAGAACCGTAACTAAAAGTTCGGAATTTTGTGATCCGCGAACGCCACTACTTGAACTGCGCATGTGAAATAGTTTCGAACAGTTCAGAATCCTTACCGCGAACGAAGCTATTGTAAAAGTAAAAGCTGTTTACGGAAACTATGATCGTGTTAACCCGATCGTTAGCAGACGTATTTTGTCTTTTTTAAATCGTATTCATTAAGGAAAGATAGAAAACATTCAGCTGCTGATCGGATTAACCCGATTATAGTTTCCGTAAACGACTAAATAGTAAAGAG